TTGCAAGTGTGTTTTATCTGAATGTTTGCACGTGTTTCACACATATGTTGCATATAGGTTTATCTGGATGTTGGATATATTTTGCAATGGCTTTTTTCAAGCGTTATTAGGTGTTTTTACGAGTATTTCAGACGGATGTTGCAAGTGTTTCAACTGTTTTCAAAAGTATGTTGCAAATGTTTTATTTGATATTTCAAAAGTAGATCGGGTGTTGCATCTCCCTCCTCGCCTTCTGGTGCCTTGCATCGGTATCTCCTCCTCTTCTTCATGCTGGTAATGTTCGGGCGACGTGGGCCCACGTGGGGACGGGCGAGTGGGGCGTGCGGAACAGGGCAGGCGCAGGGCGTGGGGAGCAGCGCCCAAACGCGGGCCTCACGCCGGACATCCAGGCGCTAGCGTTCTGTTTTATACATGTTGAATTTAGAATATCGTCCTATGCTAGAGGCGGTGTCTTAACTCATACAAAGCCCCAAATATTTTTTTTCTGTAAAAATGCAAACAGTAGCAATCAAGAGTGAATGGTTGGGCTGGATCGGTTAGGCAAACATGCCAAAATCACCCAGGTCATATTCCAGCTGTGTAAAGGCGCTAGAGAAAAGAACGGGCAAATCCACAGCCTGGTTAACGTCCTCATCTATCTCCATTTTTCTTAATTATTAGTGACTCGCTTTGGATTTACGGGGAGATATGGGATGTGTTTGGTTTCATGCCTTAGAGCAACTCTAAGAGCATGTAAATTGATAGGTAAGTGGCTCTCCAAAACAACATTTGTCGAAGTATGAAAACTTTCTGCAATGATCTTTTTGGCAAACCAGTTTCGCTATTTGTTTTCTAATGATCGCTAGTCATCAGGCCTACATTGAAGTACAACGGCATCACTTTGGAGCACACCGTCGAACACCTTCATGGCATGCCTTGCTTCAAGAAGCATCATGCCTCACTGCCAGAATAGGCCGCGCAGCAAAGAGCTTGTGCGGGTCGAGCATCAAAGTAATCGATGGCGTTTGTGGCCAACCGGCAAAGCTCGGGATCGCCATCTGTCCAAATCTCTGAAAATGACTTGAGATGCCGTTAACGAGCAAAACCACAGACCATCTTCCAAAGAATGAGGCTTAGGCCTTGCAACATGAAGCACAAGAGCTCCAATAAACATGCAACAAAAAAACCGTGCATATGGCGGCAGAGATATACTACGAGAACTGCTTACATCTTTTAATTTCCACTATCACAAGTCATTGTGGGGTGCAAAGAAAAGAGATCCGCCTCACGACATGCGCATTAAAATGTTAGGCATGGGCAGAAAGAGTACCTCGTAGATGAATCGGGGTGTGGGCAACTAGATGCCTGGATCCCTACGTACGTTCCTGGGTTTTTATCGATTTCGAGGTGCATCCTTTCCTGCCCATTTTAAAGCACGCCGACTATCTATAAACTGCAGACTCAAAGGAATAGCTAAAGGCTATTTTAATGCGACATAGGGATAATCTGTTGGAGGCTTGTTTTACACCGAATTATCTAAATGGGACTATACATGACGGGATGACAAGTCTCTTGAAGTTGCTCTTAGTCTTAGCCTAGCTAGGATTGGAGACTGGTTAACCTTAGCCTACTCCCACTATGTATAGTCGCTGTGTGGATGCGAACCAATAATTCCCAGGAATTGGACGTGGGAACCATGATTATGTCATAGAGTAGTTTTTTTATGAGCTCAAATAATGATGATGCCACAATAATGTTTTTTTTTGTATAATATACTACCGTACGTGCGTGCGTCTTATCGAATGTTGAGGATCCATGCGGATCGGAGGGCATGTGAATCTCTGTTGTTGGCGAGAGAGAAACGGATAGGGAGGCCCACAAGCATGATTATTAGCGCGGAAAGCTCCTTTAATTTCTCCTTGGCCAGAAGCGAAGAGGCCACCCACTCCCACCATCCATAATCCATCAAGTAGAGCCGAAAGAGAGAGTCGTCCATCGTCTTCACCAAAAGGTGTCTCAGATTCTTCCTGGCTAGCACCCTTTCGGTATCCTTTTGCATGCATCTATTGATTCATCGACTCAGTTGGTCATATCAAAACAAAACAAAAAATTAAGCTGAGGGAATCTCCTGGGACTGCTGGTTGATTCTCGAGATTTGAGAATGATATTTCATCTCATACCTCCTAGCTACTCCTAGCTAGCGCATGCAAAACGAAGGTACCTAGGTACACTAACCGCAGCAGATCTATAGACACTCTACTCCTAGAATGGAGCAACAGGAAAAGGATAACGTGCATGCATGGACGCTCCCAATGAAGCTGATAGAACGAAGATTCTTTTATTTCTCTTGCGATGCAGACATTCTAGATAGTGCTTACAAAGCAAGGGATTTTGATCTAGACCATTCTCAGGTTCTGAATCCGATGCTTTTTTTTCCCTCCTGTACTGCTCGTTTTCAAAATCTTCCATTGTTTATTACTATGTACAGTAAATCTATATATATATATTTGATTTTTCCTGCATACCATTGTCCTGTTTTTAAGCTCTACTTCAACGGTACTTTTTAATGAAGGAACAATATTTTTTTCTCTCACAAGAAATCGGTATCAGCAGCAGCATCAGTCAAATTTCAGCAACACGAACAGGGCCCATGTATTTTACAACTATATACTACGAGAACCATATAATCAAGTACGGAGTACATCTTTTAATTTCCACTATCACAACAGGTGAGGCACGCCATCATCTCACCACGTACAAATTAAAATGTTAGGCATGGGCAGAAAGAGTACCTCGCTCATCCATCGGGGTTGGGCAACATGACAAGCTAGCATACGTACGTACGTTCCTGCGTTTTTATCGTTTTCCGCGTGGATACTTTTACTACCCAAATTAAAGCATAAGTAACATAAACTGCAATATCAAAAGCAAATAAAGTCCAATTAATGGGAGTAGGGATAAGCTCAGACCATCGGCATCATACTAAATGGGAAATTAATGCTAGGACATCAGGACGATGATAACGAGGCACTGTTATAAAATATAAATGCAACGGAATTGACGTATGTATGTGGGCAGCTACATGTTCCTATTCCAAAGCATGTTTTCAAGTTTGGTCCTCAAGTACGTTTCCAAGCATGTCGTTCAAGATCAAGGTTCATCCTATCTCAAGAATCAAGATATTAAGCGTGTTTTTCGAACTTAGAAATTACACTTTCAAGCATATTTGATGTGTCGAAGCTATGGAGGTTTCTTTGTGGTACAAAAGAGGATTATGTTCAAATTTTGAGTATTGTAGACCCCTTACATTAAAAACATTGAAGGATAAGCATATTACAACCAAGCAATAAACGCTACACATATAAGTTCTCCACTCATCTTCTTCTCCAATTTTCTCTACTATACCCATTGCGAAGCTCCATTTGGCTGACGCAAGTTAGGACTTTGAGAAGCCAACATCAATTTCTCCAACTAGATCCGGCCAACTGCCCCGGACATTAGAATTGCCTCAAGAATCAGCGTCTCGAAGCCAAATCTAAGACACACATGACCCTAAGTCATCCATGTTGTCGAAAGTGATTGACGAATACTGACATCTGTGCCATCAAAAGTGATTGGGGAATACTAACATCTGCGCCATAAAAACGATTTGAGGAATGGAGAAGCAAATGCCACAACTTTGAATCTACCAAAGATGGTACTCTGATGCCATGAAAGAGTGAGGGGTGGTGACTTAGAAACAAAACCCCAACTGGACATGCAAAAGCTTCCTCCCATTCCCATAAGCACCTTCGTACCCGGCTACCTTTGCGAAAATCTCATCAAAATCAATACGGTCGTCAGAGAAAGTAGCATTGAGGGCCAATGGGATTTATGTAGGGGAGGGTCCCCACTCCTCGCCGCAAAGGATGTTTTACTTAGGCGTCCCCAATGGTTCTCAAATAGCTAGTCTAGAAAAAATTCTATTAGCTATCAAGGAGAGAGATCAAATAGCTAGCGACTCCCAAATAGCTAGTCTAACACGATCTTCTGGAAACAACTTTCTCACAGCTCAAATAACTCTTCACTACATTGTTCTTTTTTATCATTTCTAAGTCCAATCCAACTAGCTATTTAAAAGTTGCCATTGAAGACGCCCTTAGGATATATGTTAGAATAGGAAGCGGTAGTTTCTTAAATATGGGAAAAACAAGGTGGGGTTGGGGTGGTTTGTGGTTGGAAATTCTAACACATAATAAAGGCATGCGTGTAACAAATTACTAGGAGATATTGTCCCATCTGGATGGGTCAAATGGACGCTTTCATGTACATAGAATGTACTTCCAACTTTCCAATTTGCAATGAATTAAATTTTAAAAAAGACTTTTGCACAAAACTGGCAACCCAATCCAAGGCTAGAAAATTGATGCATGGGGGGTGCGCACAAGAGAAAAGGGTCAGTTTGTGATTGCTGTGCGCTCAGTTGGCCATAATGTTGCAATACAAGTCTCAGGTCTCAACTCATATTGCTAAATAAATTTCATGGAGAAGAAAAGTTAATAGTAGTACTCCATTAAATTGAGGAATTTACATGGCGCATAAAGTGCCCTACTTTTATGACTCATATCGAGCTCCTTTTGTGAACCAAACCGCCGGCCACTCCATCTTATCTTTGGATAGAATTCTTTTCTTTGCCTGATGCTTATTAATTAACAGCAGCTTCTATATGCTGAACACATTAAAACTCAGCTTCAGACCACTAACTAGGAACATGAAGCGCTGCAACACTGCAACCTTGAATCTGAGAGTATGATCCTCAAGAAGAAAAAGATTGCGAGAGCAGAGTAAAAATACACTGCAAATTGTGTGGATGTACATTGAGCCCCATGAGAGTACATAACGACTTGGAACTTGATCTGATCATATATATACGTACTACCATAAACAGCCTAGAGATAAAAGATGTAAACAAATCATGCCTTACCATAACACCTGATTTTCTTCTGCATGTTTGCTGTATAGTTCTATGGCACACATAAGGTTCACCGTCCAAATAGTGAGACCAAGAAGAGCACGAGCACGAGCGCCACGCCCCACAGCGACGACGACCCTGCTGCGCCGCCGGCGCCGTACCTGTCCCCCGTCTGTCCAAATAGTGAGACCAAGAAGAGCACGAGCACGAGCGCCAGCGCCACGCCCCACGGCGACGACGATCCTGCGCCGCCGGCGCAGCCGTACTTGTCCCCCGTCACCATCTCCGCGAGGAGGCTCATGACGCCGTCCCCTCCGCCGCCGGTCGCCACCCAGAGCTGCACCGCTATGATGACTATCAGCGGGGACAGGATGAGGAGGCGCCGGAGCTGGTCGACCAGGCTCTCCATCGCCGACTCACACCACGTGTAGAGCGTGGTGGCCGTGATGAAGGAGACCGTGACGAGGAGGATGAAGGCGTACACCGACGACGACTGCCCGCCGCCGCCGCGTACTCGCTGCTGCGGGTAGTTGTAGTTGTAGTAGTACGGCGCTGCCGGCTGGTAGTACGGCGAGTAGTAGCCGCCGCCGCTCGCCATGTTGATGCAAAGGATCGGACTGGCAAAAAAAATCTAGCTTCTTTTCTGAATATAAACTGGTCTTGCTCGCACTTGTTTGCTAGTTTAGCTACTGCTGATGATCAATGATGCTTTTGCGTTCATGAAGGCGGAAGGAGTTCACGGTTCACCTATATATATATAGGCGAATAGCAGAAGGAAGCTCGCGATGGGCAAGGGCTTTGGGAATGAGAGGGTTCCTTGGCGACGATGCTGACGTGCCACCAATGGTGTCCAGACTCGTGGCGCCGACCAAGCGGCGATGAGGAGGGATAGATGATGGAGTGGAGGGGAGCATGGCTTGCAAAGTTGGCATCTTGGAGGCTTGTGTCAAGTTCATGTCATGCATGGATATGACGCTTTAGTTAGGGGATGGCAAATAATCTAGGGATCTTCGTCAATACGTGGAGCTTTCTTTTTGCCAATCCGAGCATATGCAAGCACTTTTGGCGCATCATTAGGCTGTTTTCAACAGGAGATGCATCAGGAGACCCAAATCTAAAATGGATCTCCAACAGAATATATATAGTCTCCAACATAGTACATATATAGAATACCTATTTTGGGTGTCAGAAGAGGAATAACTCAAATCTGAGTATCCTCTCTCCTGGAGACCCGTTTGTAGAAAGGTTCTCTTTTGGGTCTTGTTGTTGGAGAAGACTAAAAATAGGTATTGAACCCTTTGCCTGTAGCGTTAACCAAACGTTGAATGTGTCTTGTATTTTTTGTAACGGTTGTTGAAGACTGTCTTAATTCGCTAATAACATATCCACCTGCTTTGGAGCTGATTATCGATTCTTTTTGCTAACGAACTATCATTAGGCGCCGCCCAATGCAGTGCGTACTGCGTACTGGCCGGAACGACAAACATGTGGCGTGGCTAATCGTCAGGGAGTTGGTGTGGTTTCTGCCCTTTTCCGCTTGTCTTGGCCTTGCTTTTCACTGTGCTGAGCACCAGTGCGGCAGTGCCGGCTGCCGGTGCCATGGACCATGGTCTTTGAAAAAAAAAATGAAGCCATGCAGGTTGACGGGAGATCCCCAGAAGGTCACAGGACTACTCAGCCACACTTCTTCGGTTCTGGTCCAGATCGATCACCAGATGTGAAAGGACATGGACATGGTGACCACAGGACGCGTCCAGGTCAAACTCAAGGAATGCAACTCAAAACCAAGCACAAAAGGTTTCATTGGGCATCGTAGATCTTCTTTGTCAAGATGCCCTTGTATACGTGCTCGGTGCTGACGCGCGGCGCCGTACTTGGCACGAGAGTCCGCCCATGGCCGGTGCCTGCAGTCCCTGCATATGACTGAAGAAATGTCGCTGGTAGAGACGGAAACGGATCGGATTCACATCGAATCGGATCCAGATGTCACCTTTTTATCACATTTTAATTTGGATTCGAATATGAATACGGATCTTGTCGAATTCGAATACGACGAATGTCTCGTATTCTGATTTCTATTCGGATATTTACTCAATTCAACTTAAAGTGCATATTGTTAAATTCAACATAGATGAATAAAATTTAATACTAAATTAGTCAATAATCAAAGTGAAATAAAATTGAAGTACACTTCTAATAATCTCCAATATCAAAGTGAACTAAATTATAATAGATAATATTTAATAAAATGATAGGTTAAGTGAATAAGTTTAAATATGAATGGTAGGCAACAAGTAGCCATTTTGCTTTATCAATTTTTTTGTGATTATAAAATTATTTACACAAGTATGTAGGTATATAACATAGACAATAATTGCCCATAGAAAATAATATAATTATCATTAAATATTTAATAATTAAATATATAAATTAATCAATCGTTATTTATATAAATTTATCATGAAATTATAAATTATATAAAATATTTTTTGTCAACAAAAATAGATTAAAGTATTAAAATAATTTGCAACAACAAATATATTAGATTTAAACTAAATTAGAAAAATACTAGAATTAATTTAATATTTGTATATATTAATAGTATTAAATTGATATTAAAGGTTACTTATAGATATACTACTAAATAGTTTCAATATATCATTACTAATTTTGAAATTAAATAATTAGTCACTAGTCGTGGAAAGAAAAATTTTCAATAGACTCATTATACCTTGTTCTTCGCTGATGCGGATAAATATCGAATATTTCATATTTTTGTCGAATACGAATATGGAACCAAATAGAAAAAAATACTGAAAAATGGATTTAGATACATCCATTTAGTATCCACATTAAAAATGAATATAAATATCCATATTACACGTTTTAGTGGATACGGATTCGGATAATTCAGACTTCTAGACATCCATTTCCATACCTCGCAGGCCATTGCTCGTATCCTCCTTTTCCTTTTTTTTTTGGTTCAGGACCGAGCACCACCACATGTAATTCCGTATCGGCCTAATTTTTGAACAAAAAAGAAAACGTATCGGCCTAGCCTATATCAATGAGAAGAGATTATGTTCTGACCATACAATCGTCAATAAAATCTTCAGAAGTCAGATCGTTTACGTGTATCGAAACTGAATGTCACGTCTGAAGCCCTTATGATTTTATAGAAGATTTGGCAGTTTTTCTTTTCTTCTCTTCTTTTAGTTTATTTTTATTTAATTAATTTGTGAAATCTAAAAAAAATCAATGGCTCATATTTGTTTAAAATATATTAAATATATAGATGAAATGCAAGAGTGCCCCGCGAGATGATATGCAATGCAAGCAATTAGTAGGTTAACGTGGAGCTGGCCTCACACTAATTAGGTAAAAAATACGGTTTTCCGAGAGATCGTTTGTTAATATATGTTGGGCACATCCGATCCCCTCGATGATATCGATCATCTCTTGGTTTTCTCAAAGAGTGGCTACAACGTTCCGATAAATTAAAGGAGATGATCTGATATGCGCCTGCTTCAGAGTGTCCTAATATTTTTGTGGTCATATATAATTAACATAGCATTACTAGATAGCTGGTCAACCACGAATCAGCATATATAGTGTAGTTAAACATGCAAACCACGAGTTCGATCCGTGTTAGTTTGATGCATCGGTGTGTGATGGAGCCTGAACTGTATTCAACGGATCACGCGTGATCACTTAGATCTAAAAAATATTCTTTTAATCAAAATTTTCCTTATTTATTTTATTTTGCCAAAAATAACAATTATATAGGTCCCCATTATTTTTGCAGCCTGGCTGCTCTATATTAACTAGAAGGTAGTAAAAAGAATCGCAAATGCTACGCTTAGGGCGACACCCCCATCATCCAGAATCTGATGACTCCATACAAATAAAAAAACAAAAATGCTTATACCCAGCCCAATGGCCTAATATCGTATTCTCTTGTCCACTCGTTCTGTTCAGAAGGCTCTCCACCACAGTGCCACCTCGGCATTCTTCATGCCGTTCGGGCGCCAACCGACATCTCCACTGCACCCTAGCGCGGTTGCCCGTCTTTCTCCCTCTCCATGGCACCTCTTGCCCACCGTGGCCGTCCACCGCAGTTCATCCCTCCACTAGGGCGACCTGTTGCGGCCTTCTCCACCGGACCTATCGTGGCCTTCTCTACCAGAGCGGCGAGTTCCGCGCCACCGGCGAGCTCTACACCGGTGAACTCCACACACCGACGAGCTTTGTAGGATCACTGGTAAGCCTATAGGAGGGTGAATAGGCCTGTAAAAATTTAACCCAAACAAACGTTAAATTCTTGGCGCGACACTGCTCCTCTGGGAGCGGCATTGCTAGGCCACGGCACTGCTGTTCGCTGAGCGGCAGTGCTGCTTTGCTTGACAACCTTGAGTATAATTCAAAATCTACCCAATGAAAATTAGATCTAGTAAATTCCTGATGTTCCTGGGGTAGTATAGAGCCTATTCCACCATCTGAAAGTTGGCGAAAGTGCACACACGAGAGTAGATTGGTTCCAAACCCTAAAATCAACACAAATACAAATATAGCAATGCAAAACACAAGAGCACAAGAGAGACACCGATTTATTCTGTAGTTCAGCTCGTCACTAAGGCTTGCGTCTACCTCCACATTGTTGATGAAGCCACTAAGGTTTGGGCTTTGCAACCCTTATCCTCATTCTTAAGTTAAGAGAGTAAACTCTTGAGATGAGAAGTTTCCACGAGATGAGATTACAAATCTCCCGGGGCTGCCACAAAAGTTGGCAAGCTCCACGGGCGATGCTCTAGCTGGCTAGGAGCAAGTTCCAAGAGTAATGAACACAATCCGCCGACTTAAACGCGAACCAAGTACTCTGAAGATGAAGAACATGCCGGGGACCTCTCTAGCACAGTTTGGAGGCTCAATCTCTCAAAGAATCGGAAGGGAATCGATGGGAAAAGGTTGAGGTGCTCCAATGGAGTATAGGAGAGTGAGGAGAGCTTCTCTGGTCGAGCTGAGGTGCAAATGGTCAAAGGTGACCGTTGGCGAGGAGAGGGGGTGAAGGAAACATCCCTCTTCCAACGGTCAGAAAAACAAGTCATGACAGTGCCGCTCCTTGCGTGGCAATGCTGCCCCGCAGCAGTGCTGCCCAATGAGCGACACTGCCACTCTCCCTGACGGCTAAAGAGTGAAGAATAAAAACCGTGTTGTCAAGGCTATGTGTCTGAGGATATTTTTGGTGGGTAATTTAGCACTTAGTTGCACGTTGAAGCTTGCGCATTGTATCTCTCTTTGTAGTACGACTTTTCTTAAACTCAATTTCGAAATATAAATGAAATTAATCGCTTTTGAGTCGGTTGTCGTGTCCTTTTGTAATTGAGGGCTCCACCATCATGTATGATATCCTCTTTTTTATTTTACCTAATTGTCATCTCGATAAATCTCATTAGTTTTCTAATTGTGTGGCCATTATCACCAAACCCAAAATAGGGCTTGATTGCACTTACAACTTCCATTCCCAAGCAGCAAGGAGACCACCATTCCCAAGCAGCAAGAAGATGTTGCACTGAAAGCGCATGTTGCAAACATATGTTT